GGTTAAAACTCTGTGTTATCAGAATGTACACATGGTAATAATATTAATAGACCCCATTATATATACGAATGTTTATCATAAATAGCAAATTATTATTTAACTTCGTAAATTAGTATTACACATGAAATTGTTATTTAAGTCACCGTGATCAATGCTAACACTCCTGTGAATAATTTTGAAACACATACTACACGAAATATGTTGTTGTATTTTACATAAAATATGTTATAAGATCTCATGTTAAAGAAAGATCAATGTAGACCGACACTAGTTCGGCTGCATTCTCCGGCACCGGCTGTGTGTGGAGCAGCCACGGCTATATTCATTAGCCTGCTCACAGGTTTTATTCTGAGAAGATGGAGGATGACATTCCGGCGGAGGATTATCACGCAAGCACGGATTAACCAAACCTGGATTTAAGTATTTCCGAGGGCCGTTAGCTTCTACTTGCGTTGCAATCAAGATGCTACAAAGCAACAAAATTATCATACATGACTTCATTTTTTTTTCTTAGATGCTTTCAAATACTATTAGGAAGCAATCACAATAATATTATCGTAAAAAAATGAGATATGTATATATATACATATAGAGCTTAGCGAAAATGCTAGTTTTAGCTAATCCATATTTGAAAGATCAAATCCTACTAAGTTAAGGTTGTGAAACATGGTTTTTGGAGATGTTTTTCGGGTTTCCATTATTTTAAAGCCAATTTATTGTAAACCAATTGATTATTTCATATCACCTCATGAAATTTAGTCTTTTTTGGTACAGAGTTTTCTAATCGACGGTGACCTTTATGTTTAGTTTCCACTATAAACTAAGTCATGGCATGTTTGGTACTTTGGTAGGCAAGATTGAGATTTGATTCATGATTAACTTGGTGGGTTATCCGTGATAGTAGATAATTGTGTTGACTTAGTCCTTGCATAACAATTTTGAACATCACTCTAATTCGGTGTCAGAGTTGGGATTGAAAAAACCGTAGCCACATGGTTAACATATGTTTTATTTTAATTAAAAAAATTTAAAATTTATTCAGTCAAATATTTTTGTACATCAAGTATAATTTGTATTTCGACAACAAAAGAGTACTAGATTTAAAAAAACAGAGCACTATATTGATGATGGTCAGTTATGTATCAGAGCTCCGAACCATATTACAAGTCCCGCCTTGGAGCTCTGTATCTGCATTGCTTCAGTTGTATCTTCAATATTATTCAAAATTTAGACTCGATGTCGCCGTCTCCTATGAGTGCTAGAGTAGCATTACATGATACACCAATATCGATAGTGCCACGAGTTCCTGATATATCAATTAAAGTTCCTAGGGGAGATCACTCATCAAACCAAAAATGAACTGCATTACCTTGTTTAACATCAACTTTATGAAAAGATTTTGCTAGTGCCAATATTTTAGTAATATCTTCCAC